GGTGCAGTGCTAGGCGAGCATGAGAGGGAGGGCGCACAGCAGATGAATTCAAGTGTCTGATTTAGCCCTTTGCAAAAAGACTGGTGTAGTCTAAGCTGGAATGGCACATTCTCGATGAAGTCTGGCTTAGCAGGACTTAACAATAGGAAGGGTTTACTTCTGTTAAGTTAGATAACTGTACTTTGTAAGTAAGATACTAAATAGTATCTCCAGGATTACCATCAGAACTTTGGTTTCTATTTTGAGACCTTCCAGCCCCCCAAACTCTTAACTTCATGTGAAACACATGATTGCTCTTGAGTCAGCTAGCTTCCTGTCCTCAAGTGTTTCTACTTTCACAGATGGCCATTACAAGGTATCTTTCCATTCCTCTGGGAACACTGCTGTCAGCAGCTGGTGCATTCCCCATACACTCGAGCCTCCAATGATATAGCAATGCCATGGTAGCAATAAGAATCTGTAGGAAATTTTCAATAACATTATTAAAGAGAGGAACATAGGACAAACACTGATTCACTGTAAAAAAACCGAACATATCTTTTCTTACTGTTTTATGTCAAATTTCTCAGCTATAATTTTAACTTAAATGAAGAGCCAAGGTACTATAGAATTATTTGTCTGCCTACCATTTGATACATATATGATCAGGAAGAATGAAAGGACAGTTGGCCAAAAGCATACCAGATTGCTGTCTTTATCAAGAGGCAGAACCAGATATTTTGCTTTCAATCTATACCATTCTTCTTTCCCTATCTACAGATCTGTGCACCCTTTTCAAGACCTTTACTGATAGAAAACTTCACTGTTCCTTTCAGTTATTGAATCGCTCACAAAAAGCAATTAATTTTTCTAATATGAAATCATACATATCAGGATCTGGAGCATAAAAATATTTACAGATTACTAATTTCTATTATATGTGAAAATAATCAGTTTAGAAAAGAAGCCCAACAATGCATACTAGAGGTATCCAAACATGAAAAGGAAATCTGTGCAAGTATCAGAGTCTTCCAAATACTTAAGACTGTGGGATATTGGCCAGTGTGTTGGTATATATATATAAAATATATATTTATGTATTTTATTTATATATGTATGTATACTGCATACAATGCTCAGAAAATGGACAATTTCTAAAGTACTCTGACCACTAAACCTTATAATAATGTGATTAATAATTAAAATCTGATGCCTACTAAAAAAGATCCTCAAAGATAGGATCATCTAACCAGAAGCTAATGGAATAGTGTAGCTGTATTAAAAATTGAATTTATGGAGGTGAATGTAATATTTTAAAATATTACTTGTAGCTGCTGGGGTTTGTGTGTTTGTTTTGTCTAAGATTTGTAAAATACCTCTTTTTATCTTTTGTATGTGGTAGTTTTCATAAAGCGTTCCCTCACCCTCATTCATTCCCCTCTGCTTTCCCACTTGCTTAATGAACAGTCATCTTTTCTTACTAGACATTAACTACATGAATGAAGAAGTCCCCAACATGATCTATGTGTCTTGTTGTCTGCTCATCAAAGATAAAAATGAACTGCCTCGCTTAAAATTCCAATCAATAATAGACCAAATTTTATTCTTCCTCAGACTTATTTTATTTAGTTTGCTTAGAAATAAACACCAGTTAGGGCAAATACAGATGTTATATTTTAGAATTTAAATCTAAGATGTCAGTTATCGGATTAATTCTGTGGTCTTGCCAAATAGACTAAGATAACATAGCAGCAGACAGTAGCCCTACCTGAATTGGAAAAGGTTTTCTTCAAGTACAAGAATGTAACAGTACCTGAGGATAGAATCATAGTGACATACAACTATAAATATGATAAAATATGGAAATCCATTCTTTTCTGCTTAGTTCTTCCTTAAGAATAAAAGCTAATAAACAGAAAGGCCATGTACATAGTTATATTATATGTTTCAAATAAACAAAATTGGAGTAATAAAATATAATATTTAATATTAAAGTATATGATTTTTTTAGTGTGCTATCTCTCCTGTCAAATGATATTTGAGTTCCTTAGTGGTCATATGAAAGGACCTATCCTTAGGGTACTTATGGTGATCTTCTTGTCTGTATACAAAGAACACGCTTATGAATGTGTGGAACACAAAAGTTTTGAGACATTGGTTATTTATATTTGGGTTCATTTCTTACATGATCATAGATACATTACTTCATAAATTTTGCATTGGGTCTATTAAAATTTTGATTGCTTCTTCATAGTAAGTGAATATAAAATAATACCAAGAGGAATGTGAATATCTATATTTGGAACTAATGTACCCGCCTTTATTAATGGTCATCCATCTATGTCATGTATACTAGAATATCCCTTTAGAAAATCTTTTTTTATCATCCTATTAACATAGCATTAGCTATGAATTTAGAATTATTAATTAGAATTTGAGAACAACTCCAAATACCTGGTTCCTCCCCAGACTGACACAAACTCAATGCTTGGGTCTAGACGAACATCTGTCCCTAAGTCAGTCAGTGTTCGGATCTTTATCTGTAGCTTCCTGCCCTTTTGTGTAAAAGAACTTTCATCTTGATTTGTCATCCATTAAACTAATTTTTTATTTTCATTATTTATTTTTATTAGCAAGAGTTCCTAAGCCAATCCTACATAGCTTTACACTGCACAGAAAATAGTTGGTATCTTGGACAGAAAGTATCATTGACTAATGGCTGTATTGTTAGGGCTTTTCACTCTTGTCTGAAGGTGGGCTTCAGTGAAAACCACCCAGTGCAAAATCAGGTTGTGTTTGGTAAGAGTAGCCTCCTGCTAGTCATACTATCATACATACTAATCAAACATCTCTCTAACTAAAAATCAAGCAGATAGAAACTGATACAATTTGTTCAAAAATCCTCTCTCTTCTGTACAGGCTGAATGCTTGCTGTGGGCCATATTTTGCTTCTGTCCCTCCCAGATGTTTTGTCTAATAAATCAAATAAATGAAACCAACAACAATGACAAAAAACCCTACAAACCCAAACACCAAATCAACAAACAAAAAAAAGTGAAAAAGCTTTTTTCATAAATGAAATATGCACAGGCTTAGTGCACATCTTGATACCTTAATATTCAGGGACACCAGAAAATCTGGGAGCAGCCATCCAAGCTCCAGACCACAGCTGGTAGAGGCTCAACCAGTTCAGAGCATAAGCAGAAGAAGTTCAGGTCTGTCTCACCTTTCCAACAAAGACGTAACCTAACTTCATGTGAGATCTGCTAAAGTCTAACTACTACTTCAGCTTTCCATCTTGAACCACTGAAACTACATCAAAGAAGCAGCCACTGTAAACCAGGATGAACAGGAATCATGAATCCTACCTAATGTTGTTTCAGTAATGACCTTCAGGTTTTTTTAATCTAAAGGTGTTTTCTGTTCCATGTAGAATCTCCTTTTCTTATTTTATTATTTTATGATATGAATGATATATTTGCAGAAATGGAGGCCCACCAAATCTATTTTTCTTTTGTTTACAAGTGAATACTTCTAGCCTGGAAACTATTTCAGAAAACATACCAAATATGTTTGTTACTGGTTAGTCTTCTTTGTAGGAAGGTAAATGAAATAGATTTATCTGTTTAGTAAAGTAATTGATTTCCTAGCTATTAAATTTTTTAAAAAATTATTATAATTTAAATAAATTTTCAAAATTAAAAAAAATTATATGTGCATAGATGATCTGCTAATTGCAGGATTGCATTGACATATGTCTCCTGTAATATTAATATTAATGGCTTAAAAATTTTAAATAGGTGTGCTGGAACATGACATAGTTATGCATTTGCTGTATTTCAGTTATTGCTGTTGTGTCTCAGTTTTAGGGCAGACATAGGTGGTTGTATCATATAATCAGAGAATATTTAGTCCCGTTTCTTAGTGAAAGCAGCCCTGGAGATTATGTTGTCCAAATGGCTGCCAAGTTGGGGTCCCCCAGAGCAAGTGACACAGGAACACATCCAGGTGGATGTTGAGTGTCTCCAGAGAGGGAGACTCCACGACCTGACTGGGCAGCCTGCTCCAGTGCCACCCTCAATGTAATGAAGTTCTTCCACAAGCTGAGGTGAAACTTTTTGTGTTTTAGTTTATGGCCTTTGTTCCTTGTCCTGTCACCGGGCACTATTGAAAACAGTCTGGTACCATCCTTTTGGCACCTGTTTTGAAATATTTATATTATATTTATAAAAACATTAATGAGATCTGCTGCCAGCCTTCTTTTCTCTAGACTAAACACTATGCTAGACATTGTATTAAATATATTAAAAGCTAGTTGCTATCCTGAAAAGTTTTTAATAGAAATAAGGAAGCAAGGAGGAGGAGATAACACTTACATTTCTACATTTCTTGCTTTAAAAACTGTTGATTAAGATGAGGGAGAAAACTGGGTTGAGGTAAGGGACTGATAGCAAATTTTTTTTTTTTTTTTTTTTTTTTCCCCAGATATCATCCTTGTTTTAAGAGCACTGATCTTCTTTTGCAAAAAGCTGTGTTGGTGCTTGTTGACATGAGCACCTGGGGTTTAAAATCACAAGAACAGAACAATTAGACATTGTGTTTTTGTTCAAGATGTTTCCTGGCTTCCAGCGCCGTCCTGATGTTGTAATGAAGGTCCTAAGGATGCTATTTTTTTCTAGCATTTTTTCCAGATTTTACTTCTGTGATTCTGAGAAGATATAAGGCAGGAGCAGAAGAGAAAGTTCTTACCCAACTCTCAGGGTGAATAAAATCAGTCACTAATGACTCAGGATATATGGGCTGACAGTGGGCCATGCCTTTCTGCTATTCTCCACTCTCCCCTCATGACAGAATTGATATATCCCTCCTATTATGATCCAATGCAGAGTTCTCCTATTTCTACTTATTTTCAAGATTACAGAGTTGTACAATAACTCTTTTCAGAGTTTTCTTTCTAGAAAAGGAAAAAAAAAGTTGTCAATTTGTGTGCAATGTAAAAATTTGGTTTGTTATTGTTTCAGGACACAGCAGGCCAGGAGAGGTATAGAACAATTACCACAGCTTACTACCGGGGTGCAATGGGCTTTATTTTAATGTATGACATCACAAATGAAGACTCTTTCAATGCCGTGCAGGATTGGTAAGTAAAAATTGGAATTTATATTAATAAAAGTACTTAGAGAGAATGTGTGATATCACTTATCTGCTGTGACAGTGTAAATTGTTTTGAAAAACTTATTTCCAAATAAAATGCTCAAGCATTCTTATACCTGAATATATGATGGTCGGGTTTTTGTAGTCAGGAAAGACAATGAATATTTTAAAATGTTTCACATATAATTAATTGCAGCCATTATGTTTTCTGTAATTTCAGTTCATGTACTTTATTGATACTGCTAAAACCAGAAACATGCTAATCTGGAGACTAACTGCTAAGATACCAGAAAATGTTCCCATGCTTTATTGAAAAAAATGAGATACCATGTTTTGTGGGGCATTTTTGAATTTAATTTTTATCTGTAGCTGGATATACATGGTTCTGTCAGTCCTGTGCATCAAATGTTAAAATGAGCAAACCTTCTCAGAATAGCAGAACCCCTAGAATGGCTGGAATTTGTATTACCTGGTGTTATGTGAATGTCCAGATGTCTCCATAAAAGTGGAGATATCATTTTAATCTCGCATGGGTCAGTCAGCATCCAGACAATCTAAAGCTTTTTTTAAGTAAAGCTGACATAAAAAGAAAGCCAGAGTTTCGCTCAATGTTTTTTTGTCCTTTACAAGTTTTTTTTAATATTCAAGAGCCTTCCAGCAGTTTTCTGAGTCATGTGTGCTCCACATGCTCTCTTGCATGTTAGTTCGCATGGGGCAACTCTGTTTGAAAGAGAATTTTGTTCAGAGTTTCTGTGATTTGCTCAGTATATTTCTTTGGCTTTTTAAAATTCATTTTAAGATACGTTCTAGTGTGTACTTCTTCCAGGACAGACAGAATCAGAAGCATGTTTCACATTTAAAATATAGTAATGTTGTGATACCTGTTTTAATAGAAATTGTTACACAGCATTAAACCATCCAAGAAAAATAATTTTCTCTCTTTCATACTCTTCTACTTATTATTGTGGTAAGAGGTGTCACAGAATTCATGGAGCACTTTCCCTCTCAATACCTGGAGATTTTCTTGGTCTGTATAACATGAGATTGGTCATTTATCACTCTGAAAATAATAACTGAAAACCTTAGCTTGACTCTGCTGCAGTGAAATGGGATCTTGGGTTGCCTAACATTTCCAGTTTAGGCACCAGGGATTTAGTCATTCACGGTCATCCAGGGGAAAGGGGAAAATCCAGGCTGTGTCCCTGCTTTTCTCTATCAAGTTATCTGTATACCTCTACACCAAATTGCTCTTATGAGCAACTCCTTCCATTTTTGAGAGAATCTATAAGCTTGCATGAGTAGTATAGATGGGATAACTGTTTTTGGACAACTGAACGTGTCTGAGTTGAATGAGTCTCTGTTTGATACTCCAAGAGGAAGGAACCTTTGCTCCCTGAGAGTTGTTATGACAAAGGGATGTTTTGCCCGTGCTGTACAAGCTGGAAATAAGGAGTAAGTACTTGCTGTTACATGTTTGTGACTACTGCACTGTTCAACAGCATGAGGCAGACTCTCCCACCTAACAGGAGGTAGCTGAAAGTGTTATAGCTGCTCTTGCAAATGTTTAACAAAAACTGGGAATCAAGGAGTACACCAAGCTGAACCTGCAGATGTGACTGCCAATGGCACTGCTTCCTGGCCCTGCCAGATGAAGCATTTTCTTGCTTTGCCCTGCTTTTCATTGTCCACGGGCTGATTCTATTCTAGCGCTGGGTTGATAATGTCTTGTCTATTACCAGCTGTGATCTGAAAATGTCATTGTCCCATCTCCAGGCAAACCAGATGGCATGCCATGTATTATCTCTCTTCCTGTAACACAAAGACTTCTTTTATAGCAAGTGTAAATATGAGTACATATTATTAATTTTTCCACCTGTTTGTTTTCCAGTCTCCTAGATCTGTTATGTTTGGCACTCTTTGTCTCCTGGTAAAAAGTAACTAGGCTTCATGCTAATTAAAAAGAAAAAATTCACCATAACATGAAGCAAGAAAATATTTAAACGCTATGGAGTTCTTAAATAGATTCATTATGAAATATGATTTTTCAATCATTTTTATCTAGAAGTTTTACAACGAGTTGACAGCTCTTATAGTAATTTGGTGGAAAAAAGGGATTGTAGTATTATGTGTTGAAAGCTACTGAGAAGTCATCTGCATGATGAACGACAGATATGCTGAGCGCTTCACTTGTCAGGATGAGACATAGATTTGCCTGTTATTTGTATTTTTAATGCCATAAGCCCAGTTGCTGTTCTGCTGTTCTTCCTTTTTCTCATTACTCCCATCTCACACCTCATAATTAATTTTGATCCGCCCTGGCTTCAATTTTGATAGTAGTTGCGCAGCTTGATTCTGAATGTGAGAAAACTTAAAGAAAACTGGCAATTACCAATGCTGCAGAAAAGCAAGCATGGCTATGTGCAGGTATCTCTGTCTTTGTGAAAGTTACAGGAGGAGAGAGCAGGGGCTTTTAAGTCCTTTTGGGGATGAAAGTGCTTTTCTCTGTGATAAATGTGCTTCTCTAAGCAGTTGTGCCATTTCATATACATGCACAACAGGTCAAATCCAAGTTCAAATCACATCACATCAGCTTCAAGGCTTGATCTAGAAACTGCACTGCAGTCAGGACAATGAATCTACAGGTACCTTTTAGGTTTGGATAAAGCACTTTGGTATAAAATGTGTTTTGAGATGATTTTTTATAATAAAATCTATTTTTGCAGCCTGAAATAAGACTGACATTTCTCCTTTTTAACTACAGATACAGATGAATAATAGTTGTACCTCTAGCTGCCATATCTAGACATATTCATGTCAGCATAAATCTATTCAGCTGTGCAAATTATGCAGCCAATGTTACTATTAACATTTTACATTTAAAAAATCAGTATCCATTTTATCTGAATCAATTAGCACCTATATATGTAACATGTAGCCAAGAATTCAGAGAGAGTGAATTTGTGCTGAAAGTCTGTCTGCTAGCAAAAGCAGCAAATCAAACATGCTTTGACTCAGCAGTTCTCCTATGGAACTCTTCCCAGGGGCTGAAGCTGCTTTTACTAAGAGGCTTTTTCTTTCAGCAGTACAGCAATGCTACAAGATGTGTACCTTGAAGTAGCTTGATGCACTTTGGTTATGCCATCCTAAAAAGATGAAGATTTGGGGAATGGACGTATTTCCTTTAAATAGGAATCACTTGTAGAGCTTCATTTTCTGCTTGCCTGGGTTTTAAATTAGAAAAAGAGTATAACCAAATAACCAAAACTTCTCATTTATCTGAATTCTTAGGACAGTATCCACACATTTCAAGAAAGTGGCCTAGTGGGACCTATTTTCTTTAGAAACTTCTGATTAAATTTGAAGGGGAAGTTGGTGATTGTTGAGAGTGGCTTGATGAGTAATTTTTAGTTCAACTGAAATGTCACAGAGCTTGCATTAATTCCTGTTTTATACTACCACCTGTAGCATCTACATTTGTTAGCCTTTTCCCTCTATACATTTCACTTGGAGGAGCAATACCCCTTTTTCATCTTATGTTTCAGCCCACATAAATTGTGGCCTTTATACCAGTGGTCCTTTATGGTAGAAAGGAGAGAGTGAAGGCTTTGCATTGTCTTTGCCACTACTACCAATCAATATGCTGAGTTCTGTAGAAGTTCAGGGAGATAATTGTCTCTGAGTTGAAGTTAAACCTGTTTTTACAAATACTTTTCTAGACATCTAATGACTGAACTGGAAGGGATTGAAATACCCTTATACTCAGCATGTTCCTAATGCAATATCTTACCTAGGGCAGAAACAGCAGGTATTTCAAACATCATCTAAAAGGCTGAAGTTTCATAAAACTTTTCCAGGTTGAAACACTAGATGTGAAACTTCTCTAGCTCTGAAAGATGGATGAGGATAGAGCACATGGTATATAGTTTTTTACACTCACTCTTAGTTGCTCCTCCTCACCTGAAAATGTTGTCCCTGCTATAAATGTTTGTCCATCAATATCTTTATGGCAGTCTGGTGACTGTGAAGACACTGCTGTGGAGGGCTCCTTTGTGCATGGATTCAAAATTTGAGAATTTCATATTGCTGAAATCTCAGATTCAGAGATGCTTCCTCAGGAAACACATAAGGCTGAAGGAGTCTTAAGAGGCTCTGAGCTATTGATGATCTGTGTTTTGTAAACTTGTTAAGGTGTATGAAATCAGTTTTTCCTGCATTTTTGGCTGAGGTGTGTGAGCAGGGAGGAAAATATGCTAGGAAACATTTTGATTACCCTCACCCTTTAAAAAATATAGCACTTGTGAAAACTTATATGATGGATGTTTTTTAATGTCCCTGTTGGAAAGATTATGGTTACAGATCTTAAAGAATTCAGAGGGTCTTCCATGAAATACTTCTTCCTTTTCTTCCTTGCTTTTTCTAAGGTGTCATTTTAACTGCCCCTTTTTCCCCTGCTGCAGACTGCTCAAGTCCTGATCTTTGAGAAAAAATCAGCTGTCAGAAGATACTATTTCATGAGGTGACAGAAACTCAGTTCCCAGGACACAATTTGTGATTTTAAGAACATCACACTGTTTACTTCTGTATTTAGACAGAAATTATTTGCAGACTTTAGTACCAACCAATATACTCAGAACAGCATGAACACTTAATTTAATTTCAAATTAAGAACAGAATTAAATACTGATTTTGCATTCTTCATCTGTTCCCTTAACACATGGGAGGTAGTTACTGGGAAGTGGGTCTAGGCAAAGACTATAGGAATGCCATAAGATAACAACAGAGCACACTCTGAGCTCTGCAATATTACTTTATACATTACTAGAAATATATGGGAAGTGTGGGGGGCTGGGTATTCTTGTGATATACATATCTTGATTGAATTTTTCAAGGTATCATTTTAGATGGTTTTAAAGTAGAACCTTATAAAGAGTCTATGCTACTGTCAATTCAAGATAACACTGAGAATTAAGGCATGAAAAATATGAA